GAGATTTTTCCTAAAAGTAGTTGGTAATTGTAGCCATTGGAGATGTAATTCTAATTTGATCTATACAGTAAGCAAACCCTCCAAAATGTTTTCAAACATGTATCACAATTTACTTCAGGTAGCACAGATACCTAAATGCCAAAATTATAACTTGCTGACTGCTTCAAATTTGATTGACATTCAAGAAACCCAGTCCTCTTAGCCACACCATACGTTCCATTATTTTCTATCCTTTTAATACTTTAACATGAATTTAATGATGCCTGTACCCAGCCGATTCACACAGAAATAAATACTTTATATGGTCTGAAGAACAAGAAATTATTTTTAGGACTCAAAAGATGGAACATCACTTTCTGTAACAGTAACTAACAATAGGATGGATTCCTCCTCCCCACTTCACCTCCCGCCCTTGTATCTTGACACACTCTGTCAGTGAAAAACATTGTAAATTTCCAATCACATTATTCCTGCTCTTTTCTCTTCATAATACAAGCCAAAGAGATGTCCTCTGTTCTCATGATTTCATCACCACTAGATCTACTTGCTGCCTACTAAATCTTGTCCATTCATCCATTCTCATTCCATCTCTGAAACAACACTGGGTTTCCCAATTGATACGCAAGAATACACCATTCTTGATGTCAGTCAAGGATGGGGCTGCTTAAAACAAAGATGTAGTTACTCATCTTCACCTTACTATCCTCCCCCGGGGTCAGTTAATCAATGAGAGTGAGCATTTATCTGATTTCTGAAGCAAGGAATTTCAGAAAGGTCCAACTCATCACCATCTTTTTCTTTGCCACAGCCCATAATCAAATCCTGATGCTTGATTCTTCACAAAAGCTCAGAGATTCATCTTTATTTTCAACTTCACTTCTTAGACTGGACCCTGGTCAATTCACAAATGGACCAAGGCCAACTTCTCTTCCCTGGCCCTCCTCATGTCTACCATTTCCACATCCACCCACCCATTCTTTCCTAAGTTGAAACTTCCAAAATTACTTTCTTAAAATTCATAAAATGTATCAAAGTTACAACTTTTAAGTTCAGCTTAAAATTCAATTACTCTCAAGTCGAGAAAATGATCATTTTTCTGTTTCTTTTCCTCAAGAAGTTTTCAAATACTCTTATTCAAAGAATAACACAGTGATCACTTGAATACTCACCTCTCAGAGTCAACAACAGTCAAAATTTTGCCATATTTCTGTGTAAAATGCATTTGAAAATAAATTATAGACATCATGGCATTTTACCCCTAAAACTTTCAACATTCATCTCTCAAGAATAAGGACACAGTCCTACATAACCCCAACATCATTATCATACCTAAATAATAGTAATTCCAAAGTATCATCTAATATCCAGTCCCATTTAGATTTCCCCAATTGTTCCCCAAATGCCCTTGAGAGCCAGGTGTTCCATGTGTGTGTTTTTCTAACCAGGATTTGATTAAGCTTCATATGTTACATTTGTTATTGTGTCTCTTTGTCTCTTTCTAGAAAAGTCACTCTGCCTTTTTTTTTTTCCCATGAGAAGATTTTTTGAAGAAACCAGGCAATAATATCCTACATTATGAATCTGATGGAGGAGGCAGGTGTGTGATATTTTTAGTTGGCTTCCTCATTCCCTATGAGCTGGAGAGATTAAGGTGTAAGGGCTTGATTAGATTCAGGTTAAACATTTTTGGCAAGAAGACTTCAAGGATGATGTGTAAACTCCACACTGTATCACGTTGGGAGGCACATCACGTCAGCTGTCGTACTTCTAATGATTCTGACTTTGCCTGCCTGGTTAAGGGGGCTTCATGAATATTATTACCTTGACACCAAGTAGTTTATATTGCACTATGCCTCAGGTGTAAGGGGCTTCACTTATCTGTGCCGACGCATGCCAGGGATCCCAAGCTATTTCACTTCTCTGGTCTTTCCTGACACTCCTTTCTCCATTTCTTGTATTGTTCTCTTCCCTTTGTTTAATTATTCTCCCCCTCTTCTGTGCAAGCTTGCTCTCCTAGCCAGTCATACATTTTCCTCCACCATCCAAGCAGTTCCTGAAATTCTACTGTACAAAGATTCCCTGAATTAAGTACATGATCACAGCTCATGTTGGGTTTTCAACCCCAAGTTTACCGTCTAATTACTAGAATATGCCATAGAAACAAGGGCAAATTATGCCAAATTTGTTCTCTATATGACTATTTATGGCAGCACATAAACACAGGTGCTTACTGATGACTCTAAGGCATTCAAAGTCCCAAGAGCCAAAATCTGCAGCTTAATAAGAGTGTTTCAAACTGAGCAAAGCAATGTGCTCTGAGTGAGCATTTATGCAGTTGTTTCTGCAATTCATTCAAAATCTACCTACATCTCCTGGAGTTTTGTTTATAAACTAACCACAGCAAAAAGTACACGTATTTTCCAACACCCTTGTAGGATACATCTTATATACTATTGACTGTTTACCAGTAGCGCATATTTTTTTAAAAAAGATTCTATTTATTTATTTGAGAAAGACAGAGACAGAGCACAAACAGGGGGAGGGATAAAGGAAGAGGGAGAAGCAGGCTCCCCATTGAGCAAGAAGCCCTGACACCAGACTCAATCCCAGGACCCTGGGATCATGACCTGAGCCGAAGGCAGACGTTTAACCAACTGAGCCACCCAAGCACCCCAGTAGTGTGTATTTTTAAATACCTAGATCATCCTAATTACACAAATTAACTGGGCAATCACAGGCACCCAGCAACACTTCTCAGTAACAAGAAGACAAATATACACTGAGAATGTTTTCTGAAAACAGGTCTTATTTTGAAGCTGTGTATTAGTGACTACACATGCAAAATAAATTAAGAACTGAGATCACTGTCTGGATCATTCACACCAAAAGTCAGAAAAGTATCCAGATAAGGCAAAAGTATTCCACAGAGTTCGAATTATTTGGGTAACTCCAACTATCCAATTCATTTTGACTGTATTATCCAGCTTAGGCTTAAAAGTAAATAGTTTGTTTTTACCCTTTCTAGTTAGCAGTCATCTCCCTACTATTATACAAAAATTCTAAGTTTGTTAATGCCTCATTTTCTTGCTTTTTAGGCTCTGTGTTCCAACTTGGAAATTAGGGAGAAAGATACTGGGCATGTAGTTTTAAAAGGACCTGCTTTTTCCTTTTTCATGACCAACCCAAGCTGGAATGACTAAACAATGCAAATGGCATCAAAATCATCCTCTCTCTCCAAAGCTAACCCAGGGCAACACTGTGAAGTATGAAGTTTATGTTCTGCCCACTGCCCCTATCAAAACCTGCCCTTAGCAGGGTGCCCGGGTGGCTCAGTCGGTTAAGTGTCTGCCTTTGGCTCAGGTCATGATCCCAGTGTCCTGGGTTAAGTCCCACATCTGGCGCCCTGCTCAGTGGACAGCCTGCTTCTCCCTCTCCCTCTGCTTGCCGCTCTGCCTATTTGTGCTCTCTGTCAAATAAATAAAATCTTAAAAAAAATAAACAAAAAAAAAAATAAACCTGCCCTTAGCACAAGAATCCAGTCTTCACTTCTAAGCTAAATTTAAATTGATGATGTTTCTTCCCCAAAAAGCATTTGCTTAAGCCCAGTCTTCAACTGAGCAAAGAAAAGGTGCCCTTCAGTGGGCATATTTCAGGTATCTGCTGGCAGGTGATAAAGGTTGTGTTTGGGCAATCAAGCCTTCCTTGCTTTACTGAAATTACAGGACATAAGCAATCACCTACTTTATTTTTAAGTTTGACTATCTGGATAGATAAGTATCTTCTAAGCTAATATTTGCAGAGTTCTCTAACGTTTGCAAAGCGGGGCTCACATTACCTTGTCTCATCTTGATAGACCTCCATATTCTTATCTCTACCTTACAGATAAGGAAGCTGGTTTCCTAGCACAGTGCTGGGCCCATGGCTGTAGCCAAGACCCTTAACTCTATCTACATGGGTGCTCTTTTCTGTTTGGGTCTATAAACCAATTTTGTCTTACTGCCCTGGAAGAAAGATTATAACCCTACCATGGACTTGTCCAGTACCTAAAAAGTATTTTCTAGGTTTCTAAAGCAGTAATAATTGATTCTATTACCTACAAATACTTCCCACACGCAAAATTTTTTTTTAATATTGAGGTAACAACAGCTAAATAATAATACAGTTACCCCATCCTCTCATGGGGGATCCAAACCACATCAAACGACAAGAGGAGAACCATAGGACAAATCAACATCATTATAATGTGATCCCATACAAGTAGCACAAAGTAATTGGGGTAGAGGAACCAATATATTTATATTGCCTTTCCTATGTACATTCAACAATGAGTTTTAAAGAAAATTCAGCCTTTCTCCCACATTATGATATAAATATAGGCCTAAAGTTACATGTAAATTCAATATTAAAATGCATTTCAAACAACTCTTGCATTGCCATTCTAGTTATGAATTTTTTATCAGGAGAGAAAAGATGCCAAGTTATTAGTACAAAAAGGGGTCAAATTTCCTCTCTACCTACAACCTGCAAGCTACTGCAGAAAGGCAGAAAGGTTTTCAAACATCTTTGCAGAATACATCTCACCATACCACATCTCATGCCCGACACGTTTCAGGCACAAATTACCTTAAGTGAAAAAATATATAAGCAGGCAATCATGGACTTCCAGGAGCAATTATGAAAGGTCACTACTTAATATTATAGAATGAGGACAGCAAACTTTTTCTGTACAGGGCTTTGCAGACCACACTTTAGGATTTGGCTATCAAATGATCTCACCGACACTACATAATTTTATCATCAATAGCATGAAAGCAAGGATACACATACGTAAATGAATGGATGTGTCTGTGTTCCAGTAAAACTTTATTTACAAAAACAGGCCCGTGGGTCAGTTTGCCAACCCCTTCTGTAGAAGATCATCTTACCAAGTCTGGCTTTCCTACTAATATGAGACCATATCTAGAAGGTGTTCCTAACATGGGCTAGACAGTGTTGCTTACCTGTGACCCAATGGTTTCCTGGAAGCACCGGCCAAGCTGTGTCTTAGCGGCCACGGGATAGACATGGGGGATGACTTGCTGGTGAGAGTATGTGGAATGTACTGTCTGGGTCTTCTGGCCGGGAAGCCCTTGGTAAGAGATTTGGGATTGGCCTGGTTGAGCTTCCTTTGCCTTCTGGCCTGTTGGGCCATCGATTCTTGAAACCTGATGTATCTGGACTGAAGCCTCAGGAGGGTGCTTCACATGGATATTGACTATGTTGGGAGGAAATTTCACTAAAAGAGATCAGGAGAAAAACTTAGTCATGAATAATTAACATGCGAGTCAGCATGAGAGGAAATAGTAAGTACACACGTATGTATTTATAGGCATATATACCACCCCGGGGATAAAATATACAGAGTATATATGCATTTTTGCTGCATAGCCATCAACTCTGGAGAATAAGAGGGTACTTCCAAAACACAAACTAGACCCAAATTTATGTATTTTAAGGGATAAAACTGGAAGTATCAAGAGAAATTAAAGCCTCTCCCAGTAACACATTCATGAGACAAAAATTTTTTCAGAGTCAGAAAACTATGAAATCCATGCAGCCTGTGGTCATAGGTGGGTACATTTTATCAAAGGATAGTAGTAAAGACTCAAGAGTTTGATTACTTTTGCATCTCTCAGAGTTTCCATTGCCAAACTTGGAAGATTCACCATTCTACATCAACAGAGGAAGTAACAATTTCACCAAGCGTAATTCTCTTAGCCTGAACAGCAGAGTGTGGACGTACTCGTGTGCGTCTTGGGCCTCACCAAAGACCTATGTGTGATATTTTATATCTGTATTTACTTTCTGCCGCTTTCAAATACAATTTCATCTTCTGATGCTAACATTCAAGTTTTACAGAGTAAAGGCCAGTCACACTTCTCTGACCCTTTTTCAAAATCTGGGCATGGAAGAGATGCCAAGTTTAAAAAGAATGAGTTAGTCATAGAATTTCTGAGCTCCGGGGCGCCTGGATGGCTCAGTCGTTAAGCGTCTGCCTTCAGCTCAGGTCATGATCACAGGGTCCTGGGATCGAGCCCCGCATCGGGCTCCCTGCTCTGCGGGAAGCCTGCTTCTCCCTCTCCCACTCCCCCTGCTTGTGTTCCCTCTCTCGCTGTGTCTCTCTGTCAAATAAATAAATAAAATCTTTAAAAAAAAAAAAAAGAATTTCTGAGCTCCTAGTTTACCTTCCTCTACAGATGAATAAACTGAAGCCCAGTGAGGTTAACTGATTGTTTATAACTAAAACCAAGCACTCTTCAACTACAAAATAAACTAGGTATTCGCCAGCGGGTAGTATATGATCCACTAGCTTATTCGTCCTATACGGGCCTGAACACAGCCTTGCTCATCTTTGTTTCCCTGCCAGAAATGTGCGTGTAACAGCTCTTGGTGCTCAGAGCCAGCAGAGAAGGATGGGCTCCTTTCTGGTTTGTTTCCTGGATTCCAAATCTCTATGGCCTAGAAAGTACCGCAGCCACAAAGGTGGGCCCATCTTCTGTCCCTGCTGCCACTTCTTGGGCCACAGATCACATACTTCTTTCTGTTTCAATACCAGCCCTGCCGTGTGCAGATATTTGCTTCCGTATGGGTTTGGCAGGTTACCAGAAGTCCGACGAATGGGCAAAAAGAAAATAAATAAGCTTACCTTTGACTCCTTGTTGGCTAGTCATGGTCAGAGGCAAGGTATGTGTGGAGTGGACTACATGCGTTCCCAATGCCTTGCCTGACTGCTGGGAATGCTGATACAGCTTCGGCATGCTGGCACCATGGACTGGGATCTGACAAAGCTTCCCTGTGAAATTTGGAGGGCACTGGCATTTGTCCCTTGAACTGCACTGGCCGCCATTCATACATGGAAGATGGCAAATGACTAAAAGGGAACAGAGAAAATGTGGAGAGTTGGTTAGTTTCTCAAATGCTAAGTAACAACCAACCAACAAAACTCCCAAAACACACAGCCCATTAGAACCATCATATTCCTGCTGACTTTAGAAACAGTCAACAGGGCGCCTGGGTGGCTCAGTTGGTTAAGCGACTGCCTTCGGCTCAGGTCATGATCCTGGATTCCTGGGATCGAGTCCCACGTCGGGCTCCCTGCTGAGCAGGGAGTCTGCTTCTCCCTGACCCTCTGACCCTCTTCCCTCTCGTGCTCTCATTCTCTCTCACTCGAAAAAGAAACAGTCAACAAAGAAGTCACTACATGAAGAAAACAATAGTCTCTATTATTATCTTCTTCTTCCCATCTTATATCATTTAACTCTCCAATTGCTTATGGGTGTTCTCCCCAACAATGGAAAGAATTCAGGGAGAAGAATATATATATATACGCACACATACATATATATATAGTCACTCAGGATTATTATCTATATAATTATTATATATAATTATTATATATGTTATATATTATATATAATTATATATATCATATATAGATTATATAAGTATTCTATAATTACTTTGCTTTTGTGTTTTATTATTTATTAACTATCTCCCAAGATTATAAAGTCCTTGGGAAAAAGAGGTATGTCTGGCTTAGTGATTTTTATATTCTTAGCATCTAGAATAATTTCTGGCACACAGGAGACATTAGTTATTTCCTCAAAAAATAAACAAAGAAACACATGAGAGCGCTAAAAGTATCTGTTGAGGGTTTTCTCTAAGACAGGGAACTAAATGCTAACCAAAATCAGGGGGAACAGTCTGGGTCCTGCTGTATCGGAATGTGCCATCTCATTGGGATAACAAGACCACAGTGAAACCCGGAAATAGCAGAGTGATTAGTAGTACGGACTTGAACTGATTTAGAATAAAAAAAGATAAAAGGACGCATAGGGTAAAGAACTGCAAGGGGAGTTTTAAATTCTGTCTAAATTCAGCTTATAGCCAACTTCTTGATCTCTAACAAATTCTTCCTATCAGCCTTTTAACATGATCAGATTCCTACCAGCTTGAACATGTAAAAGCCCCTCAACTCCACTTCCTTCCAGCTTCTACCCTCTTTAAAATTTTCTCCTCCATGACCAACCTTTCAAAGAACTGTCCGTTCACTTGTCCACACACTACAATCTAGCTTGGACCTCGCCTCTCTTCTACAGGACACTACTCTTACCAAGGTGACTCAGAGGCTCCATGTTGCTAAACCCAATGGACAGATTTCATTCTTCCTTTGATTGCCACCACATCTCATTCACCTATTGTGCTCCTTCCTCTCTGCCCATTTCAACTTAATATTCTGCACAGACTCCATTTTCTATGCCTTTTAAGTATTGGTATTTTTTTTTTTTTTAAGATTTATTTATTTATTTGACAGAGAGAGACACAGCGAGAGAGGGAACACAAGCAGGGGGAGTGGGAGAGGGAGAAGCAGGCTTCCC